GTTTCATTAGCAACAGAGCACGCTTTGCTACGTCTTTTGATAATGTTCAAGTCACAATGCAAGAAGCTGTACGGCCCAGTATCTATAGATGAAACTGGATCATGTTCTAGACCTGCGATGAAATTACCATATGTTACCAATATTAGGACTATGTGTGTTTGTGTTTGTGTGTCTGTGTGTGTATGTGTTGTTGGGTGCTTATTGTGTATATATATGTATGTATAGCCTTACTTACAGTGCACTTTCCTATAAATAATGTTTAGATTCAAATGGTATTACTGTTTTAAAGGAAACTAAAGGTCCCATAAACTCTTAAGTTTATGCTCAAACATATCTCAATGCAGCAGTTACATATCTCTCTATCTTTCTCATATATTTTAGCTGTGGATTGCAATAAACCTTTGCTTGGATATAAGAAACGGTTTGACTGATGCTCTACCCAGCTGATCTTTATATACTAAAAAGAGAAACGTGAGATATAATTGGAAATATCAAGGGATGTGTTGAAAGCATTGTTTTCTCACCGTAGAGTTTTGATCGCCAAATCGTCACACCCTTTCATGGCCATCACTTAACACTGAACTAGTTTAATTACCAATCCCGCAAGACCTTGGTAGACTCCCAGGTATAGTGATTTATAGGAATCTGAATCCTCTAGGAATCGATTTTGTCGATTTGCGTAAAATTATCATGATTTATCCGTTCCGATTTTTAACTATATTTACCCCCGGCATTCCATTGCCACCGAGATGTATATCATAGTTATAATTGGTTTCCATGAATCGAATCTACCATAATTCCATTGAATATATCACATGTTTCCTGGAGGAGTACCCATTAGACACTGCAGACCCGGGCCTACATTTTATCGCGAAAGATGAAAATTATAAATAGGGCTAAAAAGACAATAAAAACATGAGGGTATTGATAAGGTAGGCTTAGGTATCTTACATCCCTAATGACAATGCTTTCCTGTCCAAAGTTACTTTCTCAGTGGTGTAATTTTCGACACCTATTATACGTATATCACATGTCTTTCCCCCCAAACAGAGAGGGATAGTAAAAATCCTAAATACGGTAGTGCATGATAGCGTTCCTATTATTGTTCCAGACTGTAGAGTTTCACAAATTAGTTGGTCAAATTCTGTTCGCGCAAATACAGTTCTCGAGTAACTTTACGCGCACGCTTAGTTCTTTTTTTAAATCAATCTTCCGCGCATAATTTTTTTTTTTTTTTTTTTTTTTTTTTTTTTTTTTTTTTTTTTTTTTTTTTTTTTTTTACCTTTCCGCGCACTTGTTTCATCATCCGCGCAAATGTAAACAAAAATGATGTTTTCCGCGCATGAAAAAATGTAATATTCCCCGCGCAAGATAAATACTCTACAATCTGGTTATTATTATGAGAAAAAGTTGTCAAACAGGAATGAAACTCTCTGAAAGCGTCTCGAAGCGCTATACCTCTAGCCCCGCCCTCTTGTGAGACTGAGGAAGAAATTGTGCGAAGATTCCCATCACCCTTGTCAGAGTCGTGTAAGTATAATTCTATAATCATAGGCCTACATGTTTCTTTAAAGGACTAGCATATTCTGTGTTTTATTTTTGTTTTGAAGATATAACACATCCACCCGAATCGTTCATATATCTATTTGAATTACAATTTGTAGGCCTACAATGTAAAAAAAAAAAGTAATTGATATTGGTAGGTTTCTAATTAATCGCATTCAAATACAAACAAACATGTGACACACACACACACACACACACACACACACACACACACACACACACACACACACACACACACACACACACACACACACACACATACACACACACACACACACACACACACACATACACACACACACACACACACACACACATGTATATATATATATGTATATATATGTATATATATATATATATATATATGTATATATATATATATATATATATATATATATATATATATATATGTTGTGCCTGGTTGAACCATTTTGATCTGTGTTTGCATTCCTAAAGCATATAATCGATAAAGTTGCATATATATATATATATATATATATATATATATATATATATATATATATATATATATATATATATATATGTATGTATGTATGTGTGTGTGTGTGTGTGTGTGTGTGTGTGTGTGTGTGTGTGTGTGTGTGTGTGTGTGTGTGTGTGTGTGTGTGTATGTATGCATGTATATATGTATATATGCACACACTTATACATACACACACACACGTATGTGTGCGTGTTCTTACTTAGTTATTTCAGTGAAATAGCTAAGCTCAGATAATCCCGTTTGCTGCAATTAAATTATCGTTGACGTTTGTTAAACCGATGCTCATTTTTGGCACATACAACGTTATTTGGAGGATTGTTCCATGTTTCAGTGGTTCTGTTTGGATATCTACACTGTGTGTGTGTGTGTGTGTGCGCGCATGCGTGCGTGCTTGGGTGTGTGTGTGTGTGTGTGAGTGTGTGTCTGTGTATGTATGTGTGTGTGTGTGTCTATGCATGTATGTATGGATGTATGCATATATATATGTATATATGTACGTATGGATATATGTATATATGTATCTGTCTTTACATATGTATGCATATACAGTATATTACAAAAGAGATGCCACTATACAGTACTAAAGATTAACAACGCGACGAAGAACAGAATAATCAATATATCACACAATTTATCATCCGCAGAGGGTCGTCTCATGTGCGCAAGAAAAGGTAATCAAGAAAAAGATATTAGAAGCACAATTTGTCACCGTTGATTAATCTTCCAAGAAATCAGAATACAATCTTGTTCGAGCGAAACGCTATTGTTATCTTGCAGGATTAAGCGACCACAACATTGGGAGTTTCCAAAAGAAAATTTTTGGAGAAGCGGAGTTGCCGACTATTTTCGGTGTTTATTTGAGGTTTAAAGAGAACGTAGTTTGTTTGTAGTCACGAATAAGATATTCATGTGTGCCTTTGATTTGTTTGGTTTAGATTTTGTATAGGCTGGGAATGGTAATTTAGCTGTAATGTTGGTTTTTAATGATTTGCTTGTTATTGTGGTTGCGAAGTAGGCCTATTGATGTAGTGATGGGAGCAGTTCTGGTTTTATATACTGCGCACTTTTTCCTGATCAATAGTGTAGTTATTCTTATGTAGACTGGTAGAAGTTATGTATCTACCCTTAGTTTGTGAGAGAGTTCACAAGTTAAGGAACATCTACAGAGGGTGTAGATGTTTGCCAAAAAGTAAAGGTAATTTTTCAGAAAACCTTTGCGAAATCGATCACAGCGTTTTTAGTATTGATGGATTCCTCTCACTCTCTCTTCTTTAAATATATCAAAACTATGCCACTGAAACCCCATCCCTTTAGCAAAATCTTGGCCTTGATAGCAGGGGAGGGCATGAAAGGTACTAGAGAAATTGCATGGTAAAATATGAATGACATACACAGAATTAGTCTCTATATTGTCTAATGAAGGAGGCTGTGCCTCCTTCCATGCTCCTCATAGGGGCAACCTCCCCTCCCCCCAACTCTCACAATGAAAGACAGAATCCTTCATATACTCATGACAGAGCAAATTGTAGTCAAAGCAACAGAGAACAGAAACTGAAGAATCAATATAGCCAAAAGGCTTTAGGGATATTCTTGTGATTATTTGCTCTTCCCTTTTTTGTTTGAAATAGAGAAATTCCTCAAGAATGATATTAATTCATTAGATTGCAATGTATCAGATAGACAGATACATATTAATTTTTGCATCCACTGTGTGATGCAAAGATTTGATTAATGCTGGTAGTTATCAAAAGGATAACTCTTTCAGATATCTGCTCTGTGATTTGAAGTGATGGAAAATTTAATAATGAAATCAAAAAAAAAAAAATCAAATATTCACAGATGATTACTGAAGAAAATGATATTGTAATAAAAGTAGATGATGACAGTGATAAAGATGCTATTTGAAAATTACTTTTATAGTGACAATCGTGTTGTTCTCATTAATACATTCTGTTCAGTATTAGAAAGGCTGTATGTTATAATTAAGTGTATGTTGAGTCATAATACACCCCATTCATATGAGACACCCGGAAAAATAAACATTGCCGGGCATGTATGACATTATATGATTTTCATTAAGTATAGGGAACATGACAAGATATGTCATATGTCCGGAAAAATAAACATTGCCGGGCGTGTGACGTTAGATTGGAGCTTGTGGTCCGTTTCTGTTGCGGGCCAGCCCCACAAGCCGATTTTGTAGACTCCTGGAAACTATTATTTTCGGATTCAAAATATACTGGCATTAGTGGATTAATTGTTTATTTTATTTTAATTCACATTTTTTCTTTCTCCCTTCCAGACACATTGTAATGAAGTCCATTCTTACCTCACTGCCCCTAGCCTACAGGTAACTTTGTCTATATTTTGTTAAAGGTTTCCTATTTGTTCTTATGAATTTTTCTTAGAATTGTATATATACACAGTACAATGTTTGAGAATGTTGGACAGTATTATACAGGATATTATTGTATAACATTATCTTTATAGAAGCCAAATAGAAATAATAATTGTTATATGACAGGGTTGGTGTTTGTGGGCATGCGAGCAGAAGTGTTAGGACCTGTTTTCAGGCAAGAAGACTGCATTCAGAATCAAATGCTGATACAGGGACCAAGACTGTTAGAGATGGTAAGTTAGTTTGCCTCCAAGCTCTCTTTTAAATTTTGAGGTAGAATAGCCTAATTCCTGGCAAACTATGTGTTTTTTGTTTCTTTTTAGTTCATCCTCAGTATGATGTATAAAGAATCTGAAATGCTAATTCCTGTCTCTATCATTTGAGTTGAATATTATTCCATGTAGTCATCAACCCATTAGTACTAGGTACATGTACTGTCCGTAGGAATTTTGTTATTTTGTTATGTTAACTTTATTTACACACTGACAGGCTCTTTGTCAACAAGGAGCCACTTATTAGGCCTGTTTTGAA